GTTCAGTAGGTCATGTGACTGGTGGCTACTGTTATTGCACAGTCTTAGAACACACCCATCATCACAAACAAGGTCTGTTGGCCAGTCCTTGTCCCTAAGATTTGTGTCTTCTAAGACTAGTGGAAATCCCATTTGGGGAACATTTTTTAGCTTTCTGCTCTTCTTTCTCCTCTACCCTTCCCTTTAGATGCTTTTCTCCTTTGTATTATAATAAATAATTGAATTGTTTAGTCTTTTAAAAAACCCCAAGGCATTGATTTGAACACAGAATATGAGGAAAATGACATGTGGAATTCCCATCTGGAGGTTGGGACAGTGGCAGATCCAGCCATTTCTGAGAAATTGCCTGGGTTTGGAGTTACTCCCAGAATTTTGATTTAGCAGCTCCTAAGCTTACAGCAAGTCTGAAAGGAACACAAATCTGTTTTGTATATACAAATAAATCCTTGTATGCTGCATGCCATTCTCAGCCTGCCAGTTTCATCTGGTTGCTCCAGAAAATATAATTCAATAGCACGTTAGTTAACCTGCATGCAGGGAGTGGGGCACCCTGATTATTGGAATGTTCTGGTTGAGTGATTAACCTGATTTTTGCAGAAAAGCTGCTGAGGCAAGGATTTTCTGTTAGGAGTCTGTGCCACCATGGCTTGCTCTTGCAGATGATCATAGTCGAGTTGCTTCATTCCCCCAGCACTCAGCAATACATCTCCATGCTAAAACCTTCAAACACACAATTGCTATTCTTGCAAGAAGCCTCATAAAAATAGATCAACAGTGGTGTCTCTGATCATCCTAGAAAAGAGAGTAAAGAGAGAAGCAAATTAAAATCTTCATGCATGTTTTACACAATTGGGAAACCTTCAGGACTTCCTGATAAGAGAGCAAGTATAACTTGAAAAAAAAAAAAAAATATATATATATATATATATATATATATATATATATAAAATATAAAAAAAATATATATAAAATATATATAAAAGTATAACTTGAAAATATTTCTTTATATATTTAATTTTCTTTAGTGATAAACACAAAGTGCTTACTAGATTGCAGGCAGTGCCCAAGGTCTTTACAAAGATTAATTCATTTTGTTCTCGTAGCCAACTTCTTATTAGATATGACATTATCATGTTCACTGTAAAGATCAGGAAACTGAGACACAGAGAGTTTAAATTCTCATGCAAGTCCCTGAGTTTGGGACTTGAACCCAGGAAACATGACGCTGAGTATGCATGAAACCACTGTAGATCATTAGTTTTTCTCTTTCCTTACACTGTTGGTTTTCTTACAATAAAAGCCAGAACATCTGAAGGTAAAAAGTGAAATCAAAACATTAATGCTTCTCTCCAAAATCCATTATAAAATTTCTACACCAAAGGGAAAATTTATTAAGAGCCCAGAATAAATCATAAAACACAATACCTGCTAGCAGTAGGCTGGTTTTTCCAAAAGTAAAATAATATAATGTTTGATTTCTATGTGGGATGGACAAAGCATTGTTTTTATCTTCTGTGTTGATTGTTGTATTCAAAAGGATTTTTTTTTTTTTACTTAGGGTTTTGAATGAGCCAATGTAACAAAAAAGATGACTACAGTGTCATTGTGCCTGTATAATGGAAGTGTAAAATTCTTCTAGAAGTATGCAATGTGTGCTAGTGAGAGAAAACCAACCACAAATGAGCTGCTACTATTTAACAGGCACTGACCTCAGGTTTTCATAGTTACTTGAAGCAAAACACCTAGACTTGGTTTCTTCCTTTCTGTTATCCCTGGCACCTAATCTGCCAACTACCCATTGGGTCTTCCAGTGTCCCTGGAAACTGCCCTTTTCTCCCCCAGCTCCCGGCCTCTGTCCTGTCTCCTCTTGATTATGCAGCCCTCACCCCCAGGGCTTCTCTTAAAGCTTGAATCTCATCCTCTCATCCCTGCTCCAACCTCCCACAGGGACCTTTTCCATTTGAAATCACCCCCAGCCCTGTTCATTCTCACCTTCTTCTTTGGGCTCACCTCCCCCTGCTCCTTCCACTCTGGCCTTCATTCACAAATCCTTACTGCTGTTTTCCACCTTAGATCTTTGCAGGTGTTATTCTCTCTGCTTGGGGTGTTTTTCACTCATCTCCTTTTGGGGGACTTTTCAAATTTTGCATTTTAGCTTAAATGTCACTTCGTCACAAAGCCCTTCCTGGTTGTCCCTCCTTGCCCTCTCTGACACAGCCCTTTGATCATGGGGAGCAGGTAGTTTAGTTAAATCCGCCTTCACAACTGGCAAGGAGGCTCCCAGACACTGGGTCCCCACTCTGCCTCCAGTGTCTAGTACAGGGTCTGATATGAAGAGGTTCTTTATGACCAATGGATTTTCCCATTTGATAGGATTCACTCATTTTTAGAAAACGGCACTGGGGTCGGCTGTCTGTAGTTACACAGGCCTACTTTGTTTACGATTCTAATGACAAAATCTCCTGGAGGACATCAAAGGTGTGGACAGAGTGAATCTTAAGTAACTTGTGGCAGCAGAATAAAAGGCAGAGCCTCCTTATGTTGGGCATGCAGAAGGTCAGAGTGTAGGAAACAGGCAGGCCTGGAAGACAAAACCTGGGTCTAGAAGCTCAGCTCCTTCATTTAGTAGCCGCCTGATCTTGACCAGCCCAAACCTCTCTAAGCCTTGGTTTTCCCCTCTGTAAAATGGGCCTGTTCACCATTTTATCTCTGGTGCCTAGCATACATCTTGGAATGAATGACCTAATGAGAGTGAATGAAATGCATGAATCCCCCCACCCCCCGTCTTTGTTCCTGTTGGGATTTAATGCAACATCAATCACACTTACATGCCTGGGAAAGAGTAGGAACTTGGGCCTGCTAAAAAAAATCTCTTCCTTTCTCCTGCCCAATCTCTTTTTCTTCTCAGGTGTTCTGTCACAGGTACACCTCACCTTGGTTTGGGATAAGCCAAGGGAAGTTCTGAGAGAGCTGAAGGCTTCCCTTTGGTCTCCAACTTGTCCAAATGTTGAACATGTATCCATCCTATCAGGTGGTGAACTAGTTATTATGTGGAAAAACAAATCAAAATAAGGGCATGTTCCTTGCTGAAGAAATTTGCCTCTTGGTAGGAGAAACTAGAAAACATGGGTGAGACAGTTATCTAGACAAGAAAGCCTAAGGCCGTTCACCTGATCAACAGCAAGGCTGGGAAGGAAGTCTTCCCGTTATTCTCCCTCCTAGAGATGGGTGCACCTGTCATGGCTTCCATTCCTCCTAAAGGGAGGGCTTGTGTGGCCCCTGGGATCCCTGGCTGAAGGATCCAGAAATTGTCACCTACTTAAAGGCAGTCAATCTAGGCCAGTGCTTACGGTCCTCCCAGGGCCTGGTGTGAAAAGATGAGCTGAGCCCATCGCATCCCACTTCCCATGGGTTTGAATCATGATAAACTGACATTGGGGATGGAGTGGGGCAAGAGATTACTGTGAGAGTGAGGTCACAAGGGGCAGGGAGAGAGCTGAGAAAGAAGAAGATGCCTCAGGGTCTAGGATGGGGCCCAGATGACCCCCTTGGATGCTCAGTGGTACAGGAGGTGTGGCATCAACGGTGACTAATTAGGTTTGTGAAAGGGAACTAGGCTAAGTTAGGTGGCTTCTTCTTCCTCCACCTTTCCCTAGCAGAGTTGAAGGTCCAGGGAAGGCAGGAAAGAGCCTCTGACATTGTCAGCTAAACCAAAAGGGAAAACCAGAACCAAGAGAGGCTGTTCTTAATTTTTTTTCCTTAAATAATCTTTACCTCTAATGAAGGTGAGTATAATGCATTCCGTTTTAATAGATTTGACTCCAAAATAAGTGCTTATTTTTCCTTTCCATTTTAGCGAATTATTTACTGAGCAATGAGCCAAACAGTGGGAGGTACTGAGGCTACAAAGAATTGACTAAGGCATCATTGTGACCCTGGATAAGCGCCCAGATTAATGAGGGAAATGGTCAGACACAAGCCACTTGTCATGTGAAGTATGTTAGAAGACACAGATGCTACCAGGAGGGTCCAACGTGCTGAAACAGCACAGAGGAGAGAATGGTCAGCTTGCACTGGAGGATCAGGCCGACTTCACCAGGGACATATAATTTTGAGATCCAGTTTCAGAGAGGAGTAGACTGAATTCACAGTCTACTGCAAAATTACAAATTTGAGTTGTGAAACCCATATAGCAAAAGACTTTTATGAGTACTCTAATGGTGAGAAGGCAACATAATGAATGGCATGTATGAGAGAGAGAGAGGGGGAGATGGAGGGAGGGAGGCTGGGGAAAGGATAAGGGGTGGAGAGGGGTGGGAAAAGATGAGGAGAGTCTAGGTGGCTTTAGAGATTAAGAGAATTCTTATTTTCAAATGACCAAGTATGTGGCAGATGTTGGATTCAAGAATTCCTACCTCTCACTGCATTGTATTTCATACTTGTGTTTTGGCCAAGTTTATTTTAACATTTAAGTAAAAACCAATAAAGAAATACTGGAAAAATCCATTTTTATTTTTCCAATGTGTTTTTCCACAGTCTGGAAAGAATTTTAAGCTTTGAGATAGGATAAAACAGGGAACATGAAAAACCAAATATGTAAAATTTTTGGTTTGGAGAATACTAAATAAATCCCCAGTCAGAAGCCAAAACAATGGAGTACTGTTAATTCCTTTGATCAGAAAAAAAATAGTATATAATAGAAAATATTTAAAATATGAGAAATGAATAACTAATCAAAATAAAAGAAAAATGTTCTTCCCTAGACAGATTTCATTGAGTTTTTGTTATGATTATTGTTAGTAATAGGATGGAAATTATAGATTCACACTGCATTTATGATTTCTAAATTTACATTTTCTCATATTTTCATATCTTCTAATTTAATAGTGTGTTAATATGCCTCATACAAACTTAGCAAAAGCAACCATTGCTGTTTTGTTTTGTTTTTAATGGCCTGAAGTAACATTTTTTCTAATTGTACTTTTTGACTTTTCTGGCAGATGACGTTTGACCCAGAAATCTTCTTCAATGTTTTACTGCCACCAATTATATTTCATGCAGGATATAGTCTAAAGAAGGTAAATATATAATGATCTTTCCTTTTTCTTTTCTTTTTTTTTTTTTTTAGCCTTAAATAGAGAATTTTGCTTGTACTAAAACAAACAAAAACCAATTATTTTATGGACCTACTTATTTGGCAAGAATATCACCATCTTAGATTGCATAATAAAGATTCAAACCTGACATACTCAGAGTTGTTCTGAACCTACTATGTCCAATACCCAGGCCTTAGTCATGTGCACCTATTGAGCCCTTGAAATGTGGCTAGTCAGAATTGAGATGCTATTTAAGTGTAAAATGTCCAGCAGATTTCAAAGACTTGGTATTTAGGAAAAGAATATAAACTATCTCAATAATGTTTTATATTGATTTCATGTAGAAATGTTAGCATTTTATATATATTGGGTGAAATGAAACATTATCAAACTTCATTTAAAAAGTATTTTAAAATTTATTTTAACGTGCCTAGAAATATTTGAATGACATATGGCTTGCATTATGTTTCTGTTGGGCAGTGTTATTCTAGGTGATTGTAATGAAAGATCTCATGCAATAATATTGGGTTTTTCCATCAGGGTATAAACATGGGAAAAGCTATTGACATTCACAGAGAGAAAGCCTGGTTTTGCAGTTTCTCTTTACTTAACACCACTGAGGTTCAGCCTGACTGCACATTTCATGGGTTAGTCATTCACATACTCTGTGCCACAGGGTGAGGCCCTGGCCTTGAGATGCAGAAGTAATGTGCTGCTTCTCAGCTACCTAGTCCGACCTGGGAAATTCCTGGGACTGTCCTCCCTTTGGCCTCTCTTCTCCAGTAGCCAGGCAGCTTCCATTACAGATCTGATGGCTATGTGTGTGCTCCAGGCTCCCTCTTGCTGTCAGTGCCGGCTACTCAGATCCCACTAAAGCCCTGAAAGGGAGTTTTCCTAAGCATGCCTTCGAGAAGATCTAGCAGGCAGAATGGATTGAGGTCATCCGTCCTCATTGGTAGCCCCAATACCAGGCATCCGTTTGTGTTTGATTCTTTAAATTGTTGAGGTTTTTTAAAAATGAGTTTCCTCTCATTCAGAAAACATACAAGTTAAAGAAGCCAGAGCCCAAGAAAGTCTGAGGGCAACTTAAATCTCTTAAGATAGTTTTTTAAATGATAAAGGAGTTGCCTTCACAATAAAACTTGAAGTGTCCTCCATGAAATGTCCCAGAGTCAGAAATGAATTACAGTAGATGGGGTAGAGAGAGAAGAGGGGAGGGTAGGGGAGGGGAGGGGGGATAGTAGAGGATAGGAAAGACAGCAGAATACAACAGACACTAGTATGGCAATATGTAAATCAGTGGATATGTAACTGATGTGATTCTGCAATCTGTATACGGGGTAAAAATGGGAGTTCATAACCCACTTGAATCAAAGTGTGAAATATGATATGTCAAGAACTATGTAATGTTTTGAACAACCAACAATAAAAATTAAAAAAAAAAAAAAGAAAGAAATGTCCGAGAGTCCTGCATGGTCATTCCCCCAGTCCCTTCCCTCCTTCTCAGTCCAGTGAGCTCTGGAAGTTGCCTCATCCCTACCCTGTTGTCTTCCATATGGCTTTTTTCTCTGTTTCTTTCCATCTTCCTTTGTCCCTTGCAATGAAATCACTTAAGTCTCCATGGGCACAGTAAGGCCAGGAATGAAGCTCCAAAAACAAAATTTATCTAAACCATAAGGAAGGTCAGGGCTGGGAAAAGCATACATTTGTTTTTATTTCCTGTTCCACTGAAATGCAGATGTACTCCATGAAGGTTTTATTTTTGTTGTTTTGTTTTTTTTTTCTCCCCAGAGACATTTTTTTCAAAACTTGGGATCTATTTTAACATATGCCTTCTTGGGAACGGCCATCTCCTGTATCGTCATAGGGTAAGTGACAGGAGGAGTTGGAGATCCAGGTGGCTGGGGGTCAGGGACCTGTGGGAGGGATCTCACACCTCCTGGATTCAGGCTGGTTGGGCCAGTTGTCTCTTTTTTCAGTGCATCACATTGGGTTTGTTTGGTTTGGTTTTGTAGTTTGTTTGGTTTTGTTGTCGTGCTGGGGATGGAACCCAGCACCCAATGCATGCTAGGCAAATGCCACACCAGTGAGTGACAGCCCCAGCCCTAGCCCCAGTAAATAACATCTTTGTCCATTTTTCCAGTTCGGTTCCAAAGTTTACATGTCTTCCAACAAACATGAGGCATCAAATCAAAGCAGACTGCAGTTGGATTGCTGGATTTTCTCTGTGATTTTTGGGCTTCTGATTTAGGGAATGAGAATCCTTTGGCTTGAGTTATATGGAACATATTGTGTTATTTTTCAGCTCAACAATGTAGACATGCTCACCCCGCAGATAGACTCATTTTTTTCCCATCATCTTTGCAGGACCCTACTTGTATTTGACAGGAGTACAATAGTCACTATATGTCAAGGGGGTTCTTTTTAAAGGAAAGTTTATAAGAGAACCGCATGAAGCCGATAAGTCCAAATACCAGCAGAATTATATAATATTGGGATGGCTTTTGGGTCGATACACTGTAGAATGAGGACTTTTTTTCTCCATGTATTTTATTGGTTGTGCCACTGAGCTCTGAGTCAAACTGTAGAGACTCTGACTTGCAGCGCACCATAAAGCAAAACGTGGTCCAAAATGATGAAGCCCATCCAATTCATTTATAATCCTATCGAATACATTAAAGCTCCACTATAGAAAAAAATGTCCAAGTGCTTGCTATGACCATGATGATGTAGATGTCTTAAATTGTCTGTTACAGCCAACTCTACCCAGGGCTTTTACTGCAGACATCTGCTAAAGCTATAACACAAGAAACTGATGCGGAGCACACCCCATCCATGCCTCTAGCGTTCTCTCATGCAGTGTTTAGTGCCTGCCAGTGGAAAGCTGGGGAGGTGTCAGGAAGTGTCTTCCTGCAAACCTGAAAGCAGGGAGATTTTGTTGTTGTTGTTGTTGTTGAATGCTTTGCTGAATTTTTGGGTTCAGACTAGAGCAACTCAATTTACACTATATGAAAATATTCAACACTGTCAAGGCAGAGAAGATGCTAAAGATGGTAGCACCTGAAGACGGAGGCTTGCAAGAATGTAGAGGGGGAGGCTTATCAAGTCTAGACACCTAAGTGGTCTTTAAACTATGTGTTGAGAGACGCCGTGTACCTGATCCTTCACAAAGCGTGTTCTGGAGGGGCTTTTCTGATCTGTGAGTATGTCATAGCTTCCTATTCAAATTTCAAAACTGGCAAGGACCTTAAAGGCTTATGTAATCAAAGCCCCTAACTCTGAAGCTGATTCATCTTGAAAGGCTAATTAATTAGATCATTCTTAGATCTCTGAGAGACAGGGCCATGACCAAGACAAGACTCAGAACTCCAGTTCCTCACACAGCAGGTCTTGCCCCACCCCCTCCTCTTCTAGAAGTTTCATCCCGGTACATTGAACCTATATACTGACAGAGGTTTATGAGATATGTGGCCTCTCAACAAATGTCAGGTGCTTTATAGCACAAATTGATTTTAGCAGTTTTATCAAACAGGGATTTGAAATTCATATCAGATGTAAATTTTAAACTATTAGAAAATACTAAATTAAGGAATAATCATTTTTCATGATTACCTTGTTTCCTTTGTACAACTGATTTTAAATATATTTACATGCAGTTATTTTTATTATATAATTTCACTATTATTAAATAGATAATTGTTTTTTTCTTGGGAAATCTTATCCATTCATTCATTTATCTATCTAACTTATTTTTGCAGTACATGGGGATTCAACTCAGGGCCTCATGTATGCTAGGCAAGTGCTCTACCACCAAGCTATATCCCCACCCCCCCCCCCTTTTTTTTTTAAGACAAGGTCTCACTATGTTGCCCAGGCTGGCCTTAAATTTGTGATCCTTCTGCCTTAGCCTCCAGAGTAGCTGAGATTGCAGGTGTGTACTATAAGCCTAGATTTTCATGGGTGTCTTAATATCTCTAAGGAAAAAAGAAACAATACATAGTGTGTGTGTGTTGTATGTAACTGCCTACTTATAAATATGTCAATTTAAGGGATCTAGTAATTTTCATGTCTTAGAATTCAGAACTCTTAATTGAATTTAAGTGTTCATCAACAATTTTAAATGGAGAGTGCTTTGAATAAAAGTGTCGTCTTGAGAAAACTCAGAACCATGTATTTGTTTGTGCTGGGTATAATAAATAAGAAGAGCAAAAATGTATAGGGTGCCTTTTGAATGTAGGTCATGCAATTAAAGTGTATAGGGAGAGAGCATAAGCATTTCAGAATCTTATCTAGAAAGAGAAGGGACATCATTGAGGAGATTTAGCTTCAACAAGGACAGGCTGATACTGTAGGAAGGCCACTTTGCTGGTCATGTGGAAGAGGACTTTTAGTGTTGGGCAAAGATGTCAGAGAAGGTACCATTTTTTTTTTATTAGTTGCTCAAAATATTACAATGATCTTGACATATCATATATCATACATTTGATTCAAATGGGGTATGAATTCTTATTTTTCCCATGTGTACAAACTGCAGGATCATGTTGGTTATACAGCCACATTTATACATACTCCCATACTAGTGTCTGTTGTATTCTGCTGCCCTTCCTATCCCCTTCCTATCCCTCCCTCCCCTCCCCTCCCCTCCCATCACCTTTCCCTACCCCATCTACTGTAACACATTTCTCTCTCTCTCTCTCTCTCTCTTTCAGAGAGGGGACCATTTAAGAGGTGATTTCCACCCACCAGGCTGGAAGGGGGCCCAAACGGTGGCAGAAAAGGTTGTCAGTTTGTTGAAATCCTGGGAGAGAATGGGGTCTTCCAGGGCGAGGACATTAGGGAAGAAGGGAGGGACATCACTCTCTGAAGGAAGGGGACAGGTGCTCACAAAGGAAACAGGAAGTGTGGCATTCAGAACAGGAAGCAGATCAATGGAGGAAGAGGAAAAGCAAAGGTGGGCAGTACTGGACACAAGGAAGGTCCCTGGCATAGGAATTGTAGTTTCCATTGGATTTGGCCCCTAAGAGGTGAGGGGGCCCTTGATACTTGTCCTGTGGGTGAAAAATGAAGGATGAATATTGGCAAGGCCAGTTGTTATAAGTAGGTTATGATAAGAAAGGAGAATTTATTTTTATGAGTTCAATCTTGGAATATAATTTCAGAACCTTCAAAAAAGAGACACATACTTAAATTCAGACCAAACTGATAGTATCATAACTTGGGGACCCTATTGCATGAGATAGATCCAAACCTTATAAAAGATTTATATTTTTATAAATATATTTTTATGATACATTTTATGATAAATTAATAGTGGTAAGAATAATCACAAACATTTACTGAATACTTGATATTTACGTTATGGTCTGGATGTGATTGTCCCCCAAAAGCTTATGTGTAAGACAATGCAAGAAGGTTCAAAGAAGAAATGATGGAGTTATGAGCACCTTAACCCAATCTGTAAATTAATCCCCTGATGGGATGAATTGAGTGGTAATTGAAGGCTGGTGGGGTGTGGCTGGAAGAGGTGGGCATTGGGGGCATGGCTATGGGGTATACTTTTGTATATGGTGAGTGGAGTCTCTCTCGGCTTCCTGATCACCATGTAAGTTGCTTCCCTCTGCCACACTCTTCTGCCATGATGTTCAGCTTCACCTTGAGCCCCAAGGAATGGAGCCTGCTGTCTGTGGATTGAGACTTCTGAAACCATGAGCCCCAGTGGTTCTGGTTGAGTCCTTTCATTACAGTGGTGAAAAAGCTAACTAAAACATATACCATGCCCTTTTTAAAAGTAATTTACAGAGATTATCTCATTTCATTCTCAAAATAATCCTATTAAAAAGATATTACTTATTACCATCATTTAACAGATGAGACAACTGAGTTTCAGAGAGAATAACACAGTGGGCAGTAATAGAGTGGGGATTAGTAATTAAATAGTCTGGCTCCTGAGTGAAATTCTTAATGCCAAAATAACTGTGCTTTGCTTCTGTTTGTTGAATATTCCCATTAAAAAGTAAAATTATGTTCATTAGTCAATATTCAGTAGAAGCCACTGTGCTTCTTCCTTAGCCCAGCAGGAGTTGTCAGAGATGTGGGAGATTTTTATCCAGGAATTTCACATTCCTAGGGGTGGGAAGAGAAGTCTGTTTTTATGCAGATGTCCTCTTATTTGCATGAATTGGGCAGGAGGAAGGGAGGGCTCAGGATGTCCCTTAGACTGAACCCTGGGAGAGTGACTTCTTGGAGGAAGTGATCCTGGTGAGTCACTTAGTGGAGAAGGAGAAGGCTGTCTAATTTTGCATGCCAAGCACCTTGGTTCTGATGGGTGTGGAGAGCCTTGTGCAAGGTTTCAGGTCAGAGGGTGGGTTTCACATCGCTTCATGGTCTCAGAGGATGTGGGTTCTGAATGTTGCAGTCAGCCAAAAGAAGTCCAGGAAGTCCCAGATCAGAACCACGTAAGAATGGGAAGGCCATGAAGGTGAGGACTGCATCTGATCAGACTACAGGCTAGCTCTAGAGTAGGGCTCAGGTGCTTTATAGGAGTTAAAATTCTTTATTATTATTATTATTATTAATTGAATTGATTGAACCCAGGGACACTTAACTACTGAGCCACATCCCCAGCCCTTTTTAGTTTTCATTTTGAGACAGGGCCTTGCTAAGTTGATTAGGGCCTCCATGAGTTGCTGAGATTGGCTTTGAACTTGTGATCCTTCTGACTCAGCCTCCCAAGCTGTTTGGATTACAGGCATGTACCACTGGGCCTGGCTAGGAATTAAAATTCTTGGATTCATTTGAATGGGTTCTTAATTAGGTTTATTAACTCAATATCATTTCTGAAATTAGATATAAACTATCTTTCACATTA